TGCTTTATATTCCTAAAAATACTTTGTGTCTTCTAGATCTTTAGCAACTCTGTCGCGCAAGGGTTAGCGTTCTACTTGTCGCATAACTGTAAAGCCCTTGCCGGATGCGAAGCGACGATTGCATTTTGCAAACAAGTAAACGACATGTTCGACGCACTTAATCGCAAATTGCCAAATCAAGGACTTACGCCGGAATGTAATGACTTCAAGGTAAAATAATGACTAAATTATAGTTTATTCGTTTCTATCTTAAGAATATAATGAACTCCATACGCATAGTATATATAGTTATTTATGATATAGGGTCATTTATTATACAAACTGCACATAATAATTATTATACACATTCTTCCAAATATTTTGCATTAGGTGTTGGAGGATTCGTTGCAATGGCTGAACAACTGGGAAACTGCAATGATGAAAAAAGAAATCAAACCCAACGAGTTTCTCACTACTACAACATCGAGAGGGCTTCGGATAACGCTACAATCTACGCTACATATGTGCCGCTATCTTATCGAGAAATTTAACTTCGATTACTTGTTGACTGGAAAAGTTAACCAAGACAATTTAGAGGTATTTTTATATTCGATGAATTATGAGCAAGCTTTCAACATATGTACACAATCTTATAGAATTGGTTCTGCTAGTTGGTATTTTATACATCTTAAACGTACACTACTTATCTGTTTCAGAAATTCATTGGCACGATACGCCAGTCTGCGGGATGTAACGATCACCCGAACTGCCCGACATTCCTCCAGCTTTACAAGCTTTTGTCCGTATACAGCGTAATCAAACCTCCGAAATTTAGCAATTGCACTGTATTTGAAGATAGATTGTCATCAAATTTGATTAAAATCAGCGATTTAAAAGCCGTGTTCGGTAAAAAAGGTGAGGCCAAAAGTTCTATGTATCTTCGAGAGATTCAGAAAAAACTTGACACAGTCTTGGAGTACGAAGATTGGGATGCCGACGATCTCATTGAGGACAACGATCCCATTACTGCCCACGATTATGATCTATATCCCCTATTCTAGATTGCATAATTTATTATGTTACAGGTTTTTAATTTTAACAAAAGTTTTTCCGCTTTACACTAAAACCTTTGGATCCACGCATACTAACAACACTGCTTAATTTTCTATTAATTTTCTGCCATGCTTTGTTTGTTGTGCTTGTTTATAGGTACTTCATATACAGCTCTGTAGAGCTCTATACGAAGAGCTCGGCCTATTTTTTCAAATCTTTAACTAACACTAACTGCATAACGTTACACTTTCAGGTTATTTGTGTAAACAGATACTTAAGCGATATCAATCGTGCGCGACTTGTGTAGGAGCGGTCAGATTAAACTCCAGTTGCACCTCTTCTGTCAGTCAACTAGTTCAACTGAAATCTCGAGGCGGTTTAATTCACGCGAATTTACATTTTTTTCATCTCATCCGCTATGTAGAAGAAATATTTGCAAAATATTCATCTTCGATTGACGTGTTCGATCAAACGCTTGAAGAAGTCCTCGAGACCTACAACTTTACCTTCCCTTGTAAATATCATGCTTCCGAGGTGCTTTCGTACGCGATAATTTATTATATCCGATTAAGGATGCGACAGAACGCTCACCAAGAGAATTTAAAAATGAGAAAGCAATTCGTCGTACAAAAAAAATTGTCGAAACTGACGAATCAATAAAGTATTTGCAACGAAAATTTTAATAAAATGGACTTATTTTTCTTTCCTGAATATCCTTGCATATCACCCACAGTCTTATATCACCTACAAAAAATACTTTACTAATGAACTGCTAGGCAAGCTACGTTATGTGGTTATGTACAGTTATGTAAGAGAAACAGAGAGCGACTATATTTCTATCTCTGTTTACTACCCTACCGCAGCGACTCTCGCGGCCAAGAGACAAACAATTTTTGGCGACTATCTGCGACCTACCCCCACTACTGAAAATTGAGCGAGTGTCCAGACCTGTATGTAAGACCGTGGTTGCGGCGCTTTCTGACGGTTTCGTAAAACGAACTCTTCAGTTAGAGGGATTAACTTCCTTGAAAGCCGCCATAGAGAGGGCCATGGCAATAAAAGTCATCCAAGCGAATAGTTTTTCGCGGAAGTTTGAAAGTAGAGATCTCGGAAAAAGCAGAGCTGGGAACGAAATTAAATCGGCGGGGAATGAGAAAGATGAAAAGAGTTCTGCAAATTTTAAGAAGAATTCGGGTTTCAGGACGAGATTCGGGCGTGAGGAAAAGGAGTGCTGGCGGTGCCAAAAGGCACTTTCGGTCGGAGTGCCCTTCTCTAACTACGGAAGAGAAGGGAAACTCGGAATAGCCGAGCTCAGCGGGACATGTTCGGCTCAGGGGTGCAAAGGCCCTGCGAAATTAAGTAGGATAAGTAGCGGGTTAAGTGATTTTTGTTTTCGCGGCCGAGTTAATGGCCGGACTTGCGTCTTTAGAATAGATACGGGCTCCGATGTGTCGGTACTTAGGGAAGATTTGTTAGGTCATTTGAAATCACCCACTCCTGTAGAGAGATATTTCTTGACCTATCCAACGGAAGAAACGGTTCCTGTAAAACATAGAGTGGTAATTGGAATCGAAATAAGGAAATTTTCATTGGATTTTCCGGTAATCATAGCGGCCATAAAAGACGAGTGTATTCTAGGAGCGGACTTTCTTTCAAAAATAGGGGTAGGAAGCGTTTTCTCTTCGGTTTTTGAGGAAACGGTGTCAGAGAGTCAAGAAAACTTTTTCTGTTCCCGAATTTGTAGTTTTGATAGGGGGATTCCTTTTTTTTCTTAAAGAATTCTTTGAGAAAAATTCCGAAACTCTCAACGCTTCTCAAAAGGAGCAGTTTGCTGAATTGGTGATCGAGTTTCAAGATGTCTTTTCGGAAGATGTGGTTGCAAGAAATTGCTCCGTCGTTGAGCATGCTATTAGGGTGAAAAATTCTTCTCCAATTAAACAGGCTCCTAGGCGAATTCCACTGCATATGCGAGAAGAGGTGGAAAAGATTTTAAACGAAATGAAACAACGTGGTGTCATCGAAGAATCTCATAGCGCCTGGGTTTCCAGCTGTTTTAGTTAAAAAGAAAGATGGAACGATTAGATTCTGTATCGATTTCAGGAAGCTCAATGCCATTACAGAAAAAGATTCTTATCCTATTCCCAAGATAGATAATCTTTTTGATCGTTTATCCGGAAATTCCTGGTTCACCACCTTAGATTTAAAAAGCGGCTATTGGCAGGTAAAGCTTCGTCCTCAGGATAGGGAGAAAACGGCCTTCTCTATAGGAAATGGCTTATGGCAGTTTACTGTAATGCCATTTGGATTATGTAATGCTCCTGCTACTTTTGAGCGATTTATGGAGCAAGTTCTTCGTGAGATATTGAATAAGATCTGTATGGTTTATTTGGATGATGTCATCATCTATAGTAAAACTTTCGAGAGAATGCTGGCAAATTTAAGGGAAGTATTTCTTCGTTTACGGGGTGCAAATTTAAAACTCAATCCAAAAAATTGTACTTTCTTCGGGAGAGAAGTAAAATACTTAGACCATGTCGTTTCAGAAAGAGGAATCTCCACTGATTCGGAGAAAATTAAGACCGTTCAAGAGTGGCCTATTCCTCAAAATAAGAAGCAAGTGCAAAGCTTCTTGGGACTCTGCTCTTATTATAGGAAATTTGTGAAGGGATTTTCTCTTATTGCTAAGCCATTATTTTCTTTAACTGAGAATCTTAGATTTGTGTGGGATGGGCGTTGTCAGGAAGCTTTTGAGAAGCTTAAACAAAACTTAATTTCTCCTTCTATTTTAGCTTTTCCAATAGAAAAAGGGGAATTTATTCTTTATACTGACGCTTCAAATCACGGACGCGGTACTTTCTCAGATTCAGGATAGTAGGGAGAGGGTCTTAGCTTATTATAGTCGGGTTTTGAGCAAATCTGAAAGGAACTATTGCGTAACTCGTCGGGAGCTGTTAGCTTTGGTGGAGGCTTTGAAGACCTTCCATCACTATTTATATGGACGTGAATTCTCGGTTAGAACGGATCATATTTCGTTACGCTGGTTGATGTCTTTTAAGAATCTAGAAGGGCAGTTAGCACGTTGGATGGAACGCCTACAACAATTTAATTTTGTAGTCAAGCACCGAGCAGGAAAGGTGCACGCAAACGCTGACGCGTTGTCTAGGCGTCCATGTGCGGAAGGAAACTGCAGATATTGTGATAAAGTGGAGATGGGGGAAGAAAGTATTGTAAGGGGAGATGTTAAAAGAATGATCTTCAAAGAAATTGAATCTGCGGACTGAAAAAGAATGCAATTGGAGGACCCTTCAATTGTAGGAATTTATCGTGGAAAAGAGGAGAATAGGCGACCTCTTCGTCAAGAAATAGCTCAGAGAGATTCGACTGCTAAGGACTATTGGCTCAAATAGAATTTCCTGGTGATTAAAGACGGGATTTTGTGTAGGAAATGGGAGTCTCCAAATTTATGTTCCGTTGTTTTTCAAACTATAGTTCCTCGAGGAATGATTTCGCGAATTTTAGAAGAAGCTCATGATTCTTCCACAGGTGGCCATTTTGGTGTCAATAAGACCTTAGAGAAGATCCGGAAACATTTTTATTAGGCTTTCTGTAAGCAGGATGTCAAACATTGGTGTAGGACTTGTAAAGTTTGCGTTTCAAAGAGAGGGCCATCTGATAAAGGAAAGTCTTCTATGCAAATTTACAATGTCAGTGCGCCTTTCAAAAGAATTCAAATGGATGTTCTTGGTCCCCTTCCAACTTCTTCTTCGGGAAATAAATATCTGTTGGCGGTTACGGACTGTCTCACGAAATGGGTGGAAGCTTTTCCGCTTGGAAATATTAGGGCTAAAACGATTGCGGAAGTTTTCTTGAGTCAAGTGGTTTCTAGATATGGCATTCCTTCGGAATTACATACTGACCAAGGAAGAAATTTTGAATCTCGATTATTCTTGGAACTAACTCAGTTATTGGGAATTAAAAAAACAAGAACTACTCCATTTCACCCTCAATCCAATGGTCAGGTGGAACGTCAACATCAGACGTTGTTAAATTATCTGGCAAAGTTCGTTGCTGAAAATCAACGAGATTGGGATCGTTGGATTCCATTAAGGTTGTTGGCGTATAGGTCTGCTCGGGGGGCGGTAGAGCCGTACCCGGATTTGCGATAAAGCGAAGCTCGAAGGACCAGGGGGTGTAAGTCTCCCCCAAAGCGAGTTATTTTAAGCAAATGCGACTCACCGTTCGTTGTGCCGTCGACTCCTGGATGCTTCGGCTCGGTCGCGATCGGGCTCGTGCAGCAGCGCAAGCAGGGCAGCAAGCAAGGCGAAAGCAAGGCAGGCAGCAGTAAGTTAAGGCAGGCAGCAGGCAAGCAGGAGGAAGCAGGTAAAGGCAGCACACAAACAGGCCGAGAAAGTAGGCGATCGCACTATCCGGGAGCGAGCAGATAATCTCGCGACTCCGGATATTAGCGCAAGTCTCTCCGCTCCGATAATCTCTCTGTGCTCCGTTAATCTCTCTGTGCTCCGAGACGTCGTAACGATGAGTCGTCGTAACGATGAGTGCCGAGAGCTCGCGGCGCTGGAACAGTGTCGCGAGCGAGTACTTGTTCTTCAGGCGGGTGCCCTCGTGGGGTGAGCGAGGGCAGCACCGATTGGTGAGTCGCGCAATTATCGATTCCGCGTTGATCGCGATCCGCCGACGTTTCGCGCGAGTCACCGAAATACTTAAGACTAGGTACGCAAGAATACTATGTACAACGAGTAACAAGACTAAACAATTAAGTATGATACATGCATCTATCTACAGTTTGGTGAGCGCCAAACATACCGCCCACCAAAATACAACGAGTTGTATTTTACTGTCAATTTTAATCGGTCGCCTGTGGAGCAGGGCCCATCGGCAGGGGGCACAGCTTCACTAGGGAACGCGTGATCGTGCCGTCCGCCACCCGCACCGTGGCGACACGCGGGACGCCGTCGCTGCCCGGATGCAGCGCCTCCACTCGTCCTCGCCTCCAACGCAGAGGAGGCATGTTGGCGTCTTTGAGGAGGACTAACGCACCGACACCGAGCGGGTTGACTGAGGTCCACCATTTGGGACGCTGTTGCAGCGTATGGAGATACTCCTGATGCCAGCGCTTCCAGAAGTCCTGGTGTATTCGTTGGACGAGTTGCCACCGACTCAGCCGATTCATCGGTAACGGGGTCACGTCTTGAGTGGGAACGGAGACGAGCGGTTCCATCGTGAGGAAGTGACCCGGCGATAGGACTTCGAGGTCGGCAGGGTCGGTGCTCATCGGGCAGAAAGGTCTGGAATTCAAGACGGCCTCGACCTGCGCGAGGACCGTCGTGAATTCCTCTATTGAGAGGACTTGATCACTTACGGTCCGCCGCAGGTGGGTTTTAAAGGTCTTGACTCCCGCCTCCCAGAGGCCCCCGAAGTGGGGCGCGGAGGGAGGATTAAAGGACCACTTAATCTTCTCTCGCTCCGCTGCGAGGCTCATGCGGCTTTCTAGTTCCCGTGCGGCCCCTACAAAATTCGTTCCGCAGTCGCTGTAGAGAAGCGAGCAGCGTCCGCGTCGGGCCACAAAGCGTCGCAGCGCAGCGAGGAAAGAGTCGGTGGACAACGAGAAGGCGGCTTCCAGGTGCACCGTCTTAAC